ACTACAGTGCCATTAAAAGCTAAGTAAGAACTTCAAAATCCAGAATATTTGCGGTTGCTTTTACAGAAATATCATCTGAAAAAGTATAATAAGGACACCTACACAACACCTTTCTAAATGACATGATTCATCAGTCACCTTAGTAACAACTCACGATGACACTTCATATATACCACTTTTAATGTCTTCTTCACTTGATGCAGTTTTGCAGAAGATCGCACCTACACCAGCGCCACTTTGTGAATATTGAAATCACAACAACCAATAAATGAGTGAACCCTCTTAGCAGTTCTACAATACCAGATGCAATGGCATTCATAATAAGAAAAAGATGAGTATGTGAAGAAATTCAATAAAAACAATGATGACAAAGTAGAGCCATAAAGTGCGACCCAACACAAGTACAGAGAAATAAGAAAAAAAGGCAATCTGCCATTATAACCGTTTTGCAATCTTATTAATCTGAAGTGTACATATGACTTCTCACTTGACGCTATTTAAAATTTCTATACACAATTTGGGAAAGTTTGATTTGTGATTTGGTACAAAAGTCAATAAATTGAATTGCAATGTCTAAACCATTTCTGCAACAATAGTCCTGCTTGGCCCCCCTTTATAAACCAACTAGTTCAACACATAGAATGGAATAGAATTTGCATTACAATTGGCAAAATAAAGACTTGAAAAAGTATTTGTTTCTTGCTTTTACACAATCTTATTCAATTTCATCAATATCAATACGGTATAATATTTTCCCTTTATATACTATCATTGTAAGTATGAACGTGATGGTATATAATCCTTCCAAACTTCTTGCAGAGACTAATGTATCTGTGAAACATCCTGGAGGTTCTGGGATTCACTTCCTGATGCAAGATTTTCTCTTTAAGAGTTTAAACCATTAACATGCTGCACTTAGCATTAAACGTAAAAATTTAGAACTACATTAAAATGGCTTTATAATGTAATGAAAATCAAGAATACTAGTTTAAGGAGAATTGGTACACAGACCACATACCACCTTCTGAAGTCACTCTTATTAAAAGAGAGAGAGGAACAGGTCTCATCATTAAATAAGCTGTTGGACCAATAGTGACCACGAAGAGATTGCATTATACATACAAAATAGTTCATACTTTTAAAACAAAAGAAATTCATTCCAGCATATCTTGTGAATTTTCATGGCAATATCATAGGAAAAATTTGCAATTGAAATATTTCATGTTTGAGAACTTGTTTTGTGAATTCCAGAAAGGCATGCAATGTACAATAAAACCAAAAATATCTTAAACTATTTTCAAACAATTATGATGAAATGCAATGTGAGATCAGATCACTGTTAAAAGTATTTGTCTGATCAACGTATTATTTGAAAGATTCACTATTCCTAAATCATCATTAGTCAATTCAGAAAGTTACTTCGTTCTAGCAAGTTATTCCCAAATACAGATGTGTAACAAGAATATGTGTTGAGCAAAAAGAGAGGCAAACCTGATATTACAATTTACTTTGGGCCAACAGTGTTGTAAACCAGCACTACTGACTCCATGATGAACTATAATGTCATTCACTTCCATTTTGAAGAAAATTAATAATCTGGGGAGAATGAAGGAAATTTGTGATCAGTGTTCTAAAATTGAAAACTGCAAGAACTATCAGCATCAAGTTCTTTGCATTTCACCTATTTATTATCACATGAGCCAACTGAAAATGGAGAATAATTGGAAAATTTATTTGTTTTTAAATTCAAATTTTGCATAATTAAAAGGTTTTTGAGTTTATCTTGGGCACATCACCTTGGGCACATGGATTAAAGACTCGTCTAAAAGAACAATTTCCATTATCCCGAATGCTCACTCCTTTTGATTCTTGTAAGCATTCACCACTTCTAGGTATAACCAATCTAGGTATAAACTTCTAGGTATAAAACCAATAACAAATTTTGTTTCATTTCAACCATTCTTTATTCTTTCATATAACAAATTATGTAATGATTTTGCCTTCTTATACATTAGTTTCAATTTAGGAAGATACTTCTCCACAAAATTTATTTGTTATCAATTACCTTATGACATTCACCAATCCACTGGTTTATCAGTTATGACCGCAGCATTTTGTATTACCTATATTTTAAAATGAAGCTTCGCAAAGTGTTTTGTAAGATACAAACACATTACCTATTCTTAATCAGAAGATTAGATTAAATTGACTGGGCAATATTTGAAACTCATTTTTTCCAACATTTCTTTTTGTACATGAATGACTGATTTTCTGGAAATTTACTCCAAATGTTTCTCAAATCTACTTTGAGTAAAGGCACTGATGTTAACATTTAACACTGAGTAACATGTCTATAATTGTGTTACCACATTCATATGAAATGCAAAATGGAATAAAGAAATTTTATTTCAGTATTTTTCCAGGGATAATTGATCCTTCTATAATACTATTACAAATAATAGATTTATTAGAAATTCAAGACTATTGTCTATGTTAGATATATATTTCATGAGTGTTCATTCTCACATGAGATATGGTGTAATGTTCCGGGGAAACACATCCCATAGCTCCCAGATGTTTAGAATACAGAAAAGAACTGCATGAATAATAAGTGAATCCCATGAGATACGTAAGAATTTCATCATTGTCATATCTCTTGATTTACAAATCAGTGGTCTTTGTAAAAAATGACTTACTGGGAACATATTTTCAACTAATACTGATGTCTATAAAACACTCAACAACAATTTATATTCATCAGGTGCCAGTGTCAAAACCTCTCTAGAAAAAATTCGCATACGTTAATTATTGAACCCCATAGGTTGTTCCCAATGAGGTCAGTAAATACTCACTGTTGATTGATAAAAGTTTTGAAGGGGTCTGTGATGATCAAGGGGACAATAGCTGAATATGAACTAGCATCTGACGTCAATAATCAAGATCCCATTCAAGTTCCCATTGACTACAAAAATAAAGAAATTATTTTATGATATAAAGCAAAAATATATAATAAGTTACAAATCACTCCTCTTCTTTTATATTCATCAATTATATATAGAAGTTAGAATGTTCAGAAAACTCAAGAAATTATAATTATGCTTTCTCAACAATATTCTACCACACTAAGTACTCTCCGCAATATGCTGTGGTGAAATGTTATGGTCAGTTCTTAAAAAAAACAAAATCATTTTGTAACCACTGCATTAAATAAAAAGTTTAGAAACTCAGCTACACAAAAGCGGAAACAGATTCAAATACTGAAAATATTGATAAGAGATATTGACAAGAATATGGGTGTTCGAAATTAAAGGGGCGGATGAAGCAAACAAGGGGTCTTAAAAGGGGTCAATGGAAGAAAAATGTTGGAAATCACAGCATTAAAAATCAATACACAAGTTTAAATGCCAAGTAAAATCTTGTGGGTGATCTGGGCTATCCGGGTGACGCCGTGTCAACTCAGCCTTTGACGCGGCCTCACCCGGACAGCCCAGATCACCCACATGACTCTGGCCGCGGAAGCCTACGACTTCAAGTAAAATCTTGTCTACTGCATAACTGTTTCTATTCAATTAGAAACTATGCTGAACATCAAAACAGAAAATAATACTAGTTTTAACAACGATATCTTATGAATTAGTTGCCATTTAGACTGTATAATTCTAAAAGACTAAATAAGCCTAAAACAAGAATTGCACCTCAGTTTCAGGATCAATGACCCCTACCTCAATCAGTGTTTCATCCAGTTTCCCTATTCCTTTTAGCGAATGCTAAGATAGCCCCTTGTTTTGCTTCCGGACATAAAAGTAGCTTCGGTATCTGTGAAATGTTTTCCTGAATTCATTCAGGAGTTTAATATTCAAAAATTGTTTTTTCCATTTTATCATGACATTAAGTCTATTCCTTCATGTAAAGCCCTAAAGATACATCTAGGGCCACAACAGTCTACATCTGTAGCTGATTTGTCCTCGCCAATAGCTTTTATAAAATGGGAATATTTTCATCACAATTCTTGCCAAAAACTCTCGTTGCATGTTTTCATTCAACTTAATATGTATAGGAGTTAGAATAAACATCCCAAAGCTTAAGAAATCATCTTCTCCCCATACTATGTCACAATTTTTAATGTTAAATAAATAACCACATGGTACTTATAACTTGACTCGGCAACCACAAAATTATTAATTTTTGTGACACATATCTACCAGAGACTGGATTTGTAAATTGAATAAAATTAACTCAAAACAAATACATCAGATATTAACTTTACTTTTATTAAGGCTTTGACAGGAAGGTTATTATTCTTTTACTACAATCAAAATTTCATTAATCAAGAATCATTTCCCTGGCTTAACAAAACCCCATGAAATGGTGAACCACACCATTATGTTGAACCATTATTGCAATTCTCCGGATCACAAATTACAGGAAACCTCAAAGACAGAAAAGACCTATCGAGTTAATTTACTCCAAAACCAATATGTCCTTTTAAAATATTCTAGTACACACACACATATCAGCTTGCACACACTCGTTCTTGCATGCATACACACATACTTACATACAAAATCACACATCATGCATGACAATGCACAATTGAAACTTTTTTGAAAGACTACAAAATTGGCAATCAATTTTTAAAATTAATTTTCTTGAAGATGAAAATTATCATTCCTAAAAAACCCATTTTATGGGATTACCTTCATTAAATTATATACTTTTCGCAACACTACCACTTACCTCTTAACATAGTATCTAATAAGATCACTGACAAAGGCATAAAAAGTAATTTCATGTTGAATTCAAACTGTTTCAAGCAGAAAATTTCAATATTTTCATGCACCATTATTATGATGCTTCTTTTAAGTCAATGTAATATAACACATCTCGATTAAAAAATTAAAAAATTGAAAAAAAAGTTGCATTTTCCACTATGATACTCACTACTTTGAATATTTTCTGCAAAACAAAAAAAAGTGTTTTTCATCACAATCACCACCTACCTTCAAAGATGCAAGTCTTCCACGAAGCAGGCTTTCTCAGTCTCTTACAGACCGTCGTCCTATTCTGCAGCTATCTGCTGGTAAGAGCAACAGCCTTTGAATGGATTCATGTCACTCGAAGGCAGCAAGCAAACTAGCAAGCAATCACCACTGCAGCTTTGTATTGCAAACAAGTTACAACAATATAGGCTAAAAACAGTACACCAGAAGTATACTGCACGATATAATGCAGTTTATAAATAAACTTTTGAATAGTCATGGAAAATATTTTACAGCATCAGACAGTAATACAAGAAAAATGTCATCAATAAAGTACATTTACAAGCATTAAATATTATATATATTGCAATGGCAAACATTCAGATGTAATATCCACAATTAAGTGTACATAAAATGCTGTTTCTAATTTGTATTTTTCACACACACAGAGAGAGATGTACAAAACATTTTAAACGCCACTAAAATCAGTTCATATTTCTTCAAAAACATACACATTGTATCTGAAATGGTCCAGAAATGTTCCTTCAAATAATATTGGTAAATTAACAGATTTTGGGTGTTAATAAGACTATCATATTTAACGAGTCCTCCAAAGCATAGACTTTAAAAGTACATGCACCACAGCATGTATCTATTATCTTGTTCATTAAGTGCTTCATACAAATATTCATCCACTGTTCTTTATAAACACTAAAGACTGTAACCTCAGAATGGTCAAAAAATGACCCTCCGTGTTCTTTCAATATATTAATGCACAATATGCATTATGAAGTCTTTGACAAAAATTCAGTAAAAATGGTAAACACACTGAAGCCATGTTCCTTGTAACTGATGTTAATAATCAGTGCAAAGAAAAGTGAAAGAAAACAACAAAATAATCTTGCCTCATTACAAATCTACCAAAGTTGTAAAACACAAATCTATTTAAATTATCTAATTGTATTTATAATGCAATTGGGAGGATTCATTCTGAATTAACTCGTTTGGAAGTTTTCAATGGATTATTTCTGATCGAGAAATCGGCAAAAATGCAGCGATTTCCACATTGAAAACTTATTTTAATAGCATCCCAATCTGGGTACAGAAAATCAAGAAACACACAATTAAATATAAGGCTAAACATAATTCAGAAACCACTTTTTCCAAGGCGCTGTCACCTACAAAGAATGGTGTTTAGTTTCCGTAAACACGAAAATGAAAAAGAATTTTAGCTGTAGAAGAATCGTACTCGTTGCTATTAAAATGAATTAAGACGTCACGCAATATTCAGTTGTTTCATGCAAATTAATCCTCCTCGCTCACCTTTCACTCAAACATTTAATTCAAGGAGTATAAAAGTGCAGAGAAGTCAACAACTGGAAAACAAAGCCAAGAAATTCTCAGCAGTCAAAGTGATGTTGGATCGATAACTAACCTAACAGTGTAAAACGCTAATAATATAGACCCACGTCAATCTTTCAATGCGTAATAGACATAATGTCCAACAAAACATTACAGATATCTTATGCATGACATGAAATATTTACAAAAACTACTCGGGAAGTATTTTACCGGCGGCAAAGGAGGAGTTGAAGTGCCCTACGAACTGTGATGGCCGAAATCTCGGTAGATGCAGCAACCTCAAAGCAGCAAGCGAAGTGAACAAGAGGACGAAACATTAAAATTGTTTCGTATAAGCAATAAGCTTTAAATGTTGCAATTGAGAACTGATCTTTCGGTGATCAAACAACATCCGTTATTTCTAATGAAATTTGCATGGGTTCATCTGCGATATATACCAAGGAATCACTTTCAATACATAATTTATTTCCATAGAACACATTAAAATTGAGCATCAAATTAAAACTATTGTCTCACCAATACGCCAATGAAATTCCAATCATTTAAGGATGTATTATATCAAGCACAACTCACATTTCACGGTTTAATTGCCCCATCTCACAATCTGCGAAGCGTTGATCCACGAACCACGGTAATGGCGTTGCGTTTGAAGATTAATTGAATGTACAATCCAAAAGCATGTAGCTACAGAACAATATCCATTCCAATCAATTGAGAAAAAATATTAATTTATTTACTGAAAACAATTTATAAGCAAAAATTGTCAACTGTAAGGAAAATACTAGGTTAAATAGTTCCGATCAATTTCAATGCAGCACATGCCACTTTCCAATCATAATAACTTCTAAATATCTACTTCTCTTTCAGTTTTTTCATTAAAAAGCAACATCACTACTTAAGGTAAACTTAAAAAAATATTTAAATAGATGTACTGTAAATATACATACCTAAAAACAATAAAAATATTTACATATTACACTTTTGTCTTACATAGTATTCAAAGAAAATGCGGGATATTTGAATGTCAAGTATCAAACCAAATCTGCAATCCCGAAGCATCAGCCAAATCGAAAGGCCTCTACCTCTATCCTACTCTCTGGCTCTTGCTGACTTCCAGTATCTACACAGATCTATCACACGGTCATCAATAGGCTATATGTTAATTCGGACAGAAAAATACGGTTTTTTTAATTTGGCTGTAGAAACGAATACAAACGTATGGTCCATTAGAGACTTCTGGTCACAGTGACGTAACGTGCAATTAAACAAAAAATATAACCAGCAAATAAAACTAATATTTATGAAATTAAATGGTAAGGTCGGTTTTCTTAGCCATATTAATAGGCGTGTTCTCTGCCGAACAAAACCCGTTACAGCATACTGCCCTCAACCGATTCCCACAACCCAGTACCCCCACTCTTCCATTGCCTCGCATATACCAGAGACGGACGGACTCGCGGTAGTCCACCATACGACCTGTTCTAAAAACATTTTATCGTATGCTTAAGCGAACACATTAAACTAAATTCGTCTTAAAAAGTTGTGCTGGTGGTAAGCACAAATTAAACGAGTTGATTTATTGAAACTTAAATAATTGTTGCACTTTTCACGAGGTTGTTTTTTCTGGGGAGGGCACCGCCCTAGAGCCCTTAGGGATCAGCCGACACTGCGTCAGGCCCAAAGACTTGACACATGGTTCTTTATGTATGCCATCGTGCTGTATCCGAATGGGAACCCAGAATTGCGTCATCATCCTCCAGTTTTTCGCGAATAAAATCAAATCAACTGAAAGATAGTGGTTCAATTCTGGCTTCGGGTTCAGCGCGTCGACATACACAGAAAAACAAGTGTCAAGTCTTGGGTCAGACAAATTTTGGATTCTGTAAAGTATAATATTACAAGACACCAAAATCTAGTATTCGCATGTGTTTTTTGCGATCAGCTTCGCATTCAGATTTAGCGCGTCGATGTACACTCTTGGAAACATAAAATTTCGCGTCGAAAATGCCTTGGCCCGAGAGGTTGATGGCAC